GCTCATTAAGGACCCTAAAATTGTAATTTTCTACAAAATCCTAAATAAAATATTCAAGATAATTAAAATTTAGGATTAAAATATTTAGGATCTAAAAATTGCAGCTTTTACTTTCCTGCATATTTTAATAGGGCCTCCACAATACTTAGGATCATTCTAGATAACTGCATTCATCTTTGCATGTCCCGAGGAGAAGTCCACGTACTTTTCCAACCTGACTGGCCCAGCATACCTTCATATAGGTGGTTGTCTAGTGCGCCTACGGTGTTAGAAGGCTCCCCGACCCATACGGGGTGTAAGTCATTTTGTTTGGAGTGTTTCCAGCTTTGTAGCTGAACCTCCACTTTCTCTTCTTTCCTGAGGCGTATTTGTTACTTCGGCAGGTATAAGTCCCACCTCTTGGAGCTCCAGCTTGTAGTCATAGGATAGAGTTTTTTTCCTCTGACCTTAGGGCTACCGAAGTTCCCGTAGATTATGCAATTTACGGATTGCTGACCGAGGATTTCAGGACGTGTTGGGTCGACTACCTTCACGACCAGGTAGACTTAGGGTCCTAGTAGCTGTGTATGACGGTCTGTGGTACCCCGACCCAGTTACCTCTACCTTTTAGGATCACTCTACATTCCTTTTTATTGAGCCCCTTTGAGCCCTATCGCTCATTGACCTCGTTGATATCACCTTGACGGCCCGATGTCGATGAGCTGCCGCCTATTTGGGATACGACGATTTGTCCTCTGTCCTTTGGTTTGGATGTGTTTTGACGTATTGGGAGATCCCCGTTAAGATGATTTAGGTTATTTTGTGGGCCCCATGTGCTGATTAGCCACTACCCATTTGGGATGTGAGAGACTCACTCTCTGTCTGATGGCTTAGTGTGAGCTTTGAAGTATTGGGACTGTTCCCACACGGAATAACCTTCCTTCGATTGCCTATACCCCAGGTTTATGATAATATGAAGCGAAACTCCTTTTATTGAGAGTATTCTTGAGTATCCCCCAAGATGTAATTAACCAGTAGGAACACGTTCCTCTGGGAGTGCTCTTGACCCCAGAACAGGTACATACACCTGACTCTCTGGTTATGGGTAGTCTATATAGATACTTCTTTCGCGGATATTCGTTTAAGTTGCCTCCGCCCGATCTTGTTTGGGCGGACATTCTTAACCTATCCTTGTGAGGTTTATCGCACGTAGACTCTCCACGTTTTATTTTTTCTCTTGTTTGTCATTTTGTCGTATGTCCCTTCTTATTTGATTCCTCTCCTCTTTGAATCATTTATATGGTTCGGGAGGGAGATTTATTCAAATAGGGGAAGTATACGACGATCGACAAGCTGGCGACTCCTTTTTAAAATAAAAAAAGAGAAAAATGAACGGAAACAGGGGCCGTCATGGGAAACAATGGAGTGAATTAAATAGTTGTATCCAGGTTGTGAATGAAGAACATTATTCACCATCCTGATAAAAGTATTGGAAATCATAGATTCATGCCAGTGAAGGAAGTCACGATCCCACAAATCTCTGCCAGAAAAATCAGGATCCCAGTAACTCATATCAAGGAAATTAGGATTAAAGAAACCAAGATTGGTTGTTAGAGTCATTGGAATTAAATTAAGGTTGTATATATTCAAAGAGTGAAGATCATCGTCTATATCTATACGGCTATAGGTATCATTCGAGTTTTATGTAGACTAATTTTATTATTTTCTTCTTAAATCAATATAAATTATTGTATCAAACACTGAAGGAATAAGAGCATTTTCTATATTCTCCACAGTGTCCATTCAAAATAATTTGTTTTCTTATCACTCCCCATTTCTAATCCTTTCCAACTCAATTTTCAAATTTACAAGAAATAGCGTGATACAGAGCATCATGCTAGATGTTCACATCGATCAAAAGACATCATATATTCGTGCCTAAGATCATCCTTTTCTTTTTCATACCATCAAATTGCGATTTCAAAAGAAGTAAACAAACATATTATTGTCAATGCAGTTGCTTTTGTGATGGAGTTTAAATTTCAGAATCACTTCAACACAGAATTAATGATAAGCATGGCATTCATTTTTTATAATAGACAAATTTAAAATATTCAATACAGAAACAAGGCCCCTATGGTTTGATGAGACAAAAAAGAAATGAAAAAATCAACAATTTAATTTTCGAAAATTTATTTTAAATGGTTAAGCTAAATTGCATTTAGCATTAGAAAATTATCGGTCTCGAAGAATTGCACGGTTGATAAAGCAAGAAAAAAAAATCTCCTACACAAGCTGTATAAATAGAAGCAGACAAGTTGCAGTAATATTTCTCACAGAATAAAAGAAGTATGAAACAATAAAACATACCTGGAGAGTAATAATCCATTAAAATTTTCTGGTTTATTAGACAAATATTTTATGCACCATCGTCCATCAACATTGCAAACTTCCTAAGGAGCGACGAGCAGCAAAATTTATTCAGCAATGCAAAAATGAAGAAGAAAGCAACCTCAAATGAAAAAAATAGCATACCAAAGATGAAGATTCACTTTTATTGTTTCTTGAAAACTTGTCCATCAGTTGATATAACTAAAAATCCCATAGATAAAATGGACCAATGAATAATTAGGTAAAAAAACAGAATAAAAACGTTCAACCAATATAAATATAAATTGCAAAGTCAAAAATGTACACAAGCATTGCAATCTTATGTCAGAAAAAGGAACTCCGAAATCCCAGAGTTCAGTCTTTGATAAGTGCTTTGCAATGTTCAAATTGAAGATTTCTTTGTTCAATAATGCTAAGGCAGTTAATATGTTAGAATATACAAAATGTTGCTTTCTTGAAATATTGCATATTGTTGATCCCATTAGGACATATGATCCCGTGTAATTCATGAATCCATACAATTCAGAAGAGAACCTTGTGAAAGAGGTCGAAGGGAACTGAAGATTTTATAGAGCCTTTCTTCCTCAATTCTGGCCAGAAAAAAAAAGAGGAAGATCCTGCCTCTCCCATTTTATCTCCTATTTATACATTATAGAGCGTGTATGCCCAAGAAGGACTCTACAAAATAAGTAAAAGACTCTATTAATGGTTGCACGGTACAAGACCAGCAGATACTTGTCATTGATAATATCCTCGGCTCAATAAATAGATATGCATGATGATGGAACGAAGTGCTCTCGCTTCTGTCTTGAAGAACTGCTCATTGAGCTCGGTGATGCATCTAAGTAGTATCAATCAGCTCGATAGAAGGGCATTACTAGTATGGGTGAGCTCACTAAAAGAACTTGAGAAGTATAAGCGAGCTCGGCTAGAGGAGCTCACTTGAAGGACGAGGATTGGCGGGCCGAGTAGGAGGAACTCACGTGAATGCTAACGAACTTCAGAAGTACTCACTATGTTCTTTGAGCAAGAAAAAATTTTGTAACCTGTCATCTCCAAAAATTGGGCTAATGAGTACGATTTGTTTTGTCAGAGTCAGGACATCAAATGCACGATTAATGGGCCCGATTCATTAGGCCCATCAAGCCCATTGATTACTTTGGCTATCATGTTGCTAAGAAAATTCATTTTTGGATGTGTACATACATTGCATTAATAAAAGAAAAGTAAAAAAATGTGCCAAAGACCCCTAGCCATGTACAAAATATGATCCGTCATCTACAAATTTAGACAAAAGAACATTACTGTCATTTACATGTTTCAAAATAGCACTATCCTCCAAGGCCAGCTTGGCAAAACCAAATGTTGCTTTCAAGGTCAAATTTAGAACGGTATTTTAGGAGCAGTATACGAATCATTTAGACTAAGTAAATGAGTTATACATTTCCAAATTAATACTTCACAATACAAAATTTCAATCAGACAGAGAAATAAAAACATTACTAAAAGTACTCTTTAATGCAATAATAAATCCTGGAAACACTAGACATTCAGTTTAGAAACAATATGACACAGAAGATACCTTCCTTTCAAGCATAAAAACTTGATCCCGGTACCTCTTCAGCTCAGAACTCTGAAATGAAGATAAGAAGTGTTCAAGAAAATAAAAAGGGCAATGGATAAAAACATTCAGGATGCTGAGCTAAATGTATAATTCAACAATGCAATAGAGGGTGCTAAGAAGCAATTCGCTATATAGATAGAAAATAAGGCGCTAATGAATTCAAGCATTTATTATTAATGATATGGGAGATTTGAATGAAATTTTTTTGAAGGCTAAAGCATCTAAATTTCAGTGTTTATCAGAAAAAAATCATTATGGTGCATACAACAGATAAGAGCAGACAAAGTTTTCTTGAACTTACTGCAGTATCCTTGATATAACCATCTTCATCAATAATTTCCTTCACCGAAACAGCCAATGAACGACAAATTGAAGCATTCACTATCTATAGATTTTTTAGACGAAACTTATTTAGTAAAAACAAATAAAATGGAAGGGAAGTTTACATACATATCAAACAATTTTTATATATTTACATATCTCAAACCTAAACTTTCATATTTACATGCATGGCACTTTGGTGCTTTAAACCAGTGCATGAAAAAGGTGTATTTCACTTTTAAAAATTGATAATGGTGCTATTTTTATGTGATATTAAATATTTGAGTGCTATGTATGTAAATGCCCCAAAATGGAAAGAATTACTCAGTGTCTTGTGCAATGAGAATTCACCACTGCTGCAAGAGGCAAAAAGTGATTATACGAATCTGCATTCTCCTTCACTGCACCTTTGATTGTAGCTTGCAGGTTTAGTGCAAACTCAATAAGGCGTGCAACAGCTATCGCTTCTAATCCAGTAACAGGGAAACCTTTGAAGGCCTGACCAATAGCTGATTTAACCTATGATAAAAGCCATTCAATCAGTAATAAAAACACAACGAGAATAAAATATCCACTTATAGTAATTTTTTGTACAGACCCATCAAATAATATCAAATAGTTGCAACCATCAGTTACTTTAAGGCCTCTTTGCTTTGAAGAATTGAATGAGAGAAAATGAAAAAGAAAATGGAAATTAAAACAGTAAAGGAATTGAACTGAAATCAGTTATCAACTACTTGTTTTGGTTGAGGAGAGATTGAGTGAAAAAAATTAAACACTTTGTTAGGTTTGTGTGAATATCCAATAAACTGAAAAATGTACCCAATATAATGCTATGTACACTTCAGTTATTCCTCCTTTCATTGAGTTAAGCAGGAAATCATAGCGAGAAATATGCATTGGATCAATTGCCTTTATAAAATCAATCAAATGAATTACCTGCAGATAAAAAAGTTAGGATGTAATTGTGAGGCATAGAATATTTTCTTTCCACTTAATTTATCCAAACACAGCACAGCCAAGAAAACTTCTTCAAGGTTTTGGCAAAATGCGTTTTGTTCATTCATTTCATCTAGTTCCCAGGTTGATTTTTCTTGATTTTTTTTTCTTATTTGCAAGTAGACCCCTTAGTACGGAAAAAAATGTGTGCCTATAACGTTTTTTATGAGATAACCCTTAAGTGAAATTGACCTTCTAAACAATGAGACACCTCATGTTGTGATGATTTGGGTTTTATCAAAAACCCCTAAGTTATGTGTGACCACAATGACAATCTATTTACAGCAGAATATTCAGTGACATTTTAGTGGTTAAGAAAATCCTTTGTCTTATTTCAAAGTAGTATTAAATAATTTTATAGAATGATCAAAATGTTATTTCATTCGACCTAGATAGAATTAAACAAAAGGAAAATAATAGAACAATAGATCATTAATGCCCAAAAAAAAAAGAAACCAAAATGAAATTTTTGACAAAAGTTAATCCCACCTTTGCATGGTAGAGCTACCTAAGATCAACAAATAGAAACAGGTCGAAATTGACTAATCCTAAGTGCATCACACGAGATGAAAGCGCATAACCATGATAATGAATGCTATCTGTATATTGAAATCAGACGTTAAGCCTGACAATTTGAAAATGACTAACAACGAAGCACAGAAAAAATCGTCCTCTGGAAGTATCCAAAAGGCAACAAGCAAGGAAACAACATTATTTTGTTCAGCGATAAGTTAGAATCAGGTGAACGAGACTGAAAACGAAGCACGAAATTGGGCAGAGGAATTACAATTACTATCAAAGAAATGTTTATTAAATTGAATACGCATTCAGCCTCTCAGCGACCAAAATAAATAAGCATATAATCAGAAACAGAGACAATGTCGATATGACATTAGGGATTCAAATTAGACCAACGTAACTATAATGAAAAAAAAAAAAAAAATTTGACCGGGCTTGCAAACCCTCACCAATACAAGGTCAATACCAGCAAAATCCATCCCTCCAGGAGCATATTTAATCAATTCGATTGCTGCTGCAGTCTCTGCCAAGCGCACCTTAGTCTCCTGGTAGCTCAGCTCCGTCGCGGACCAAAGCTGCGCCTGAAGTGCAGCGGCAACAAAAATTCAAGAAACCAAGAGTCGCGAGAAAAGGAATGAAGCATAGAAGCATACGGAGGGACCTTTACGGTTTCCCTGCCGAACTGTGTGCCTGCGAAGGAAGAGACCAAATCGCACACTGCATCCCATTCGAGCACCCTTAGGCTGTCAGCGATGGCCGCAGATTTCGAGTTGCAGAAGACGCCGGAGCCAGGCTTGAGCTGCTGGAGGGCGGCGCGGCGTTTGGAAGCGGAGAAGTATGGTCTCCTAAAGGTAGTGGCGAGAGAGTTTAACGAGGGAGTGGAAACAATAGCAGAATGAAGCACGGCCATGGCGCTTCGGGTTCTTCATTTTAAAACTTCTAAGATAAAAAGGTCCCGTTTTGGAAATTTGCAAAGCTGAAACCCTATTGACAATTGATAAATTGCATATATATCCTAAAGCTTTTTAGAAAATCACATGTACTCTTAGAAGTTAGAACTTGTTAAAGGGCCTTATGTGTTAAGTACATTTAATTTTTGGTTATGTATCATATTATTTTTTATTTATGTTAGTGAATCATAAGTTATATTATTACTTTCTAAACTATTTAATTTATTTTATTTTTTATATATTTTAACATGAAATAAAGATGATTATAATTTTTTTCTTTTATTTTACTTTCTAATTTTACATATATAACTTTCTTATTTTATTCAATTAAGAGGTGGGAGGTAACCACTATGATGGCCAAAGTACTTGTTTTTAATAACATTTAAAATATATATTATTTAGTATTTTAAAGAATAACTTCATTTATTTAAAAAAAAAGACAAAAGACAATGAACAAATACTTCCAATAAATATATATTTTTAAAAGAAAACTTAAGAAATAATAATAATAAACAATCCCATAATATTCATACAAAAACACAAGTTCAATTGATGCACATGACAGGATATTGGTGTGCATCAAATGTTATAATTCCCGTTTTAAAAGGGTGATATCATAATCAATAGCTCTGAAGATACATATATTACTATGAAAATAATGTGAATCTCAAAATAACTATGCCTCAAGGAATCCATTATGGGGATGAATGAAAATTTGTTATTCTATGATTAAATTAATCAAGCCACATGGACGAATCACGAAAGGTCCGGCATAATACATTTGAATTGCAATTAGTCACAACATGTAATTTAGATTATCGTCAATAATGTTTGGATGGGTGAATTAGCAACATATAAACTGATAAAATGTTAGTTTGATGTTTTGTTCTTTTACTATTAAGGTCAGCAAAAAAAAAAAATCATTTTTGAGACGAGTTGATCCACTATGGGCTCAAAATTTTGGTAAAATTTAAATCACTTTTTACTAAGTCAATGTTAATTTAACATGAACAATAAACCAATTGGATACGCAACAATCATATATACATAAACTTTAGAAAGTATAGCATATTTCGAGTAGTTTATGAAGCTATGATTATTCATCCTAATTTGAATTATGTATGTTATTTTAGGGCAGGTAAAGTTCAAATTGAGTAGAGATTATTAGGTAATGTTGAAATGTTATTTATATTTGTTATATACTATAACAGATTTGGAGCAATCTATCAACCTGTAATTCTTCATTCTAATTTTTAGTATGCTATATCAGTGTGGGGAAAGTTTAGATAGAGTAGATCATATTGTTGGTTACTATAGAGATTCTAATCTTATGTATGTTTGTTCTTATAATTTAATCTTTTGACAAATTTGATGATTTTTTTTATTTTGTTGAGAGATATTGCAAAATGATTATTATCATTATATATCAATTTATTTGTGAATATTGAAGAGAAAAAACACTTAAATAAACCTTAAATTAATCAACTTTTATGCGTGTGACATGGTACATCTTGCTTCAGTGTAGCAATTTGTATTGAGTGAGTTATGATACAAGATGCTAATGACATTCTCATGCACAAGCACAACCAAATAAAACAAATTTGCTACGAAATTATCTATAAATTATATACCTTGATTTTGCTTGCATTTATTATTTTTAAATTCAAACACAATATTCACCTTTAATTTGTAATATTCCATATATTGATTATATTATCAGCTTTATTTCTTTTTCCTACTTATAATATTTCTAATTAATAAGACTTAGTTGTTCTTTAGTAATTACTTCACAGCATAACCCATATATTTATAATAAAACATGCAAGCTCTTAGCTTATTTAAACATATTTGAGAAATTCATTTATTCTTTACAATAATTTCTCCCAAATTCTATATATTTACAGAAAAACACGTATAAACCATCACACTTAATTTTAAAAAACTATATTACATGAGAACAATCATTCATCCGAACAACCAATCATGACAGTACATTATCATGCACTTGAACTTTCATTTACGTGGTCACTCGTAAATGAATATTCATATGGTGTTAATATAATACTTTTTTTCTTTTTTAAACATACACTTACATTTATAACAAACCCTACATACAAACTAAAACCATTAAACATTTTACACAACTTCATACCATACGACTCGAAACATAACTTTAAACCTTAATTATCAAAGAAATTATTACAAGCAAACACCATAGATATAAATTTAATGATATTATAATAATATTTATCTTAATATCATCATAATTTCATCATAATATTTCAAATCTGCACGAATATAATCTCAATCTACGAGTAATATTCTAACCCACGTTAGGAATCAGCGCCAGCGCCTTGCTAGTAAGCCTCGCGGCCCTCAAAACCAGTTCTCTAATCGCATCCCTTTTTCCCCCCAAATCCACATTTTGGAGCTCATCCGCGCACATATTGTCTTCCGTCAGCGCCGCGCTCACCCATGTCCGCGCATTCTCTGCCCATTCCCTCCCTCCTCCCATCCCATCCCGCGACTTCTGCAGCTTCTGAACCGAGTCCCTCATCGTCATCAAGCAATCGCGAAGCACCACACTCTCCCCCGGCTTCAACGGCGCCACGCTTTCCGCCATGCTCGAGATCGCAGCCAGCGCGCTCTTCGTCTGCGCCAGGCTCGCCGAAACCGCCGCATGCGCCAGCTGCTCGGAGCTCGAGCGCGCTTTGCTCGAGTAAGACGAGAGCGAGTCGCGGCACAGCGGCGGGGGGGTGATGATGTCGTCCTGCGGGCTCGTGTTGTTGCGGCCATCGGAGCCTGCAGCGCTACCAGCAGAGCGATTGTAACAGCTAAAGCTACAACATTTCCATCCATCTCGATTGTTTTGTCAGTATGCAGTGGAGATTGAAGTGCGAAAAGGGCTTTCTTTTATAGTCGAAAGAAACTATGGAGATATGTGGCCGGGCATTAATTTTCAAACGACCGGAGAGATTGAGAACGAGAAGCTTCTGCTTATGGGGATGGGGGGGTTAATACTTTATTAACGTTTTTAATTAATACGAAGGTACTGAAAGTTTGAAAATGCTGTCTTTGCTAGCTTGTTTGAGGGGGCGGAGACGTAGAGGCAAAAGTCAGAACTTAGGACTGCGTGCTAAGTAGATTTAAACGTGGATAGATTCAGGAGGAGGAGTGTGGTGTTAACCGTGTGGCATTTCTTGCGGCGGTTACACCGGATCTGGTTGGTGGAAGTAATCGGGAGTCGCCGGAGTTTAATTAACTGTGGGAGATTACGTGTTTGATTTAAGGGAATGAAGCGAGTATGTGAAGAAATGGAAAAGAAAAGTCTGGACTTTTATGGATTAGTTCAAATTCCGGGAGTAGTTATCCGATCAAATCTTAATTTAGATATGTATTTGAGGCTGAGTTGATGAAATAAATGTCGGCTGCTATATATAGCTTAGATGCATTTAGAATATTTTTGAAGAGTTAAAAATGTTTATTTGGAAAAGAAGGTCGTTGTTGCCTGGAATTAACATTGCCTTGGCAATTGTAGTAAACAAATCTTGCTCACTAACTAATCATTTTCATTAACTGTAATAATACAGATAATTTAATTACTAATCACACTCTCATACTCACAACATTATGAACTAATTACAGCTTCCTGTAGATCACTATAAAACCTATACTTTGTAGTCGGTTTTTGGTATTTTTTCCTGACGAAAATAATAAACGAGAAAATAATAAACGAGGTTATGCGCTTTTATATAAAGTTTTAAAATTTTAAACATGCTAACGCGAATTTATTTATTATTTTTTTGTTGGCCACATTTCTTGCTGAGAGCTGTTTTTGCCCCCAACGGGAAAATATTTGCGTACATAAGATGTACGCAGCGTTGCGTACGTCCAGGGGTTATTCAGGGGGTACAGGGGGGTTATATCGGGGCTATACCCCTCTGTAACCTCCATGTAACCTAACTGTAACCTACAAATAAGTTCCGCGGTTTTGTAGTTTCGTGAGAACAAATAAGTTACACGGAGGTTACATGTGAGTAACACGGAAGTTACAGGGGGGTATAACTCGGATATAACCCCCCTGAATAACTCCTAATGTACGCAGCGCTGCGCACATCTTATGCACGCAAATATTTTCCCGAATTTCTGGCTTTCAGGCTTTTTTAGGGAAAATATTTGCGTACATAAGACGTACTAAGCGCCGCGTACGTCCAGAGATTATTCAGGGGGTACAGGGGGGTTATATCGGGGTTATACCCCTCTGTAACCTTCCTGTAACCTCTTTATAAACTACATGTAACCTACAAATGAGTTCTACGCTTCTGTAGTTTCATGGGTACAAATAAGTTACACGGAGGTTATAAGGGAGTTATATGGAGGTTACAGGGGGTATAATCATGAATAACCCCTAACGTACGTAGCATTGCGTACGTCTTATGTACGTAAATATTCTCCCTTTTGGAAAATAGCCCTTCGCAGTGTTTACAGCCCATACTGCAGGCAATATATGATGCAAGCAATCCTCGGACTTCCGAATTTAGTGAAAAGTAGCAAAAGTGGCGAAAAGAAAAATATCAAAAGAGATAATTTTAGGAATAATTACATGCATGCCACTTAAAAATTTCCTCTTATTTACAAAACTACCTCTAGCACCTGTCTTTAATTTTTTAAAAAAATTAAGAAACGGGTGCATTTACCCATGCATGAACAAAACATTGGAATTTATCATGAATTTTGATATTTGAGTTAGAATTTGAATGCTCATTTTGTAAATAATAAAGTTTCAAGTGTTATGTATGTAATTGCTAATGTAAATTTATGATTTTCTTATGAGGCATTTATGCACACAACACAATTTTTATATATTTACATATTTAACATCTAAACATTCATATTTGCATACATAACACTCAAATAATTATATTTCATAAAGAATTTAAGTGTAAATAATTTTTTTATATGATATATACCGTTCACATACATAGGATTTAACATCACAACTGTGTAAAACATAAAAATGTTGTGGTATTTATGTAAATTTTCCTTTTTTTATATTGGAAGATTTACATCTATAACACTCAATTTTTATCTATTTACGTATCAATCACATAAACTTTTTTTCTTACAAATACGTCATCTTGTTTATGAATGAAAAGTTGTATTTCTTACTTAAGTGAAAATCTTGGGTAGTATAAATGTAAACAGTTTTAGATATGAAAATAAATAAGAAATTGGGTGGAATGCATGAACATTCCCAGTTTTATTTATGGGCCACATGGGTCAAAGGGCCTTCAATAATGACAAAGCCCACTTTAGCACGTCCATGCACTTTGTTGTGGCTTCAAACAATAGTTTTACAAGATTTTTAATATTAATTAATTATGTAATATGGAAAACAAATCTGTCCACGTACGAGTCAATTAATCAAATGACAAATTGGCAATCTTTAAAAAATGGTTCCTTCCCATCTGTTCCTGAATTCAGCCGCCATTTTTCTAGACGATCCAGCCTAATAATTCAATTGGTTGAATCTTGATTTATCCGTGAATTGTTCTCAAGAAATTAAGCATAAGATAGAAGAAAAAGAGAGAGGCAGAGAGAGCAATGCACAGCAATAAATAATAATTTGAGAGAAATATGTACCCTTTTATTTATAGAATGGTTCCGTGTTTATAAAAAAAATGAGCACATTACGTGAAGTTATATCAATATTATTATAGGTATTTTACATATATGAGCTTAGAGTTTGGCCACTCTAGGGCTTGGCCGACTGGGCTAGCGAGCCTCTGATAGGAGATGTTGATTGGCTAAGCTCGGCAAACACTACCGCTTGGCTAGACTAGTGAGGCACGCCGATCGGCCAGGTTTGGTAGTTATTGCCGATCATTTGGGATTGATATTATTGGTTGGCTGACCTTTTACTGGCAAAGGGCCGACAATACGGACTCGGTCGGCTAAATCATGTCGATCAGTTAATCAAGTCTGACTATTGACACTTGATCCCTAATGAGGAATTTCTTTGGACAACGCAAGGCTAGGCTCTCTGGCAGAGGATAAATCGTTGTAATCCGATAGGTAGCAGCCTGTAGATGAAGAGATGCATAGAGATCGATGTCTAAGATTTTTCTTATAGATTATTGTTGGTGTTCAGGGAGACGGCTTAGATTTCTCTAATAGAACTGCAGAGCCCGAGTGGTTAGCTTCTCTCTTGGGTTGGTTTCATCGTAGGGAATGACTTAGATCCCCTTGTGCTCCACTTTCACTCAAACCGTTCACATTTGAGCAGCTTGGTTGTCTTGATTGGTCTTAGTCTTGATATCCTCAATTAGACAATTGGGCCTCTAATTATCCTATCAGTGGACCCTTCTTTGATATCACTTATCAAGTCTGTGTTGTCAGATCTCCTTGAGATTTATGATTGCACTTTTCCTGTGTACAATATCATGGTCAACGCAGTCATAAAAAAAGAAAAAAATTGTGTTGTTCAATGTTATTCTTAAGAATATAAGAATTTGTGAACAAATTAAAAGGCTGATTGGCGAGGACATGATCCAGAAGAGCTTCATTAAGATATTAATTAGGACGGCTTACATGTATACAACTCAATTCCTATGTATTTACATGTGAAGTTTTACATACAAAGAACTCAATTCCTATGTACGCATCTAACACATAAAATTCAATTTTTACGTATATATCACTTTCTTTTTCTTTGCATGAAAATGTGTATTTCGCTTTTTAAAGTAAAATAATAATAATTTTAATGCGATATGAAAGATTTATGTGATATAAATATATATAAAAAAAGAAAGTTTACGTGTTACGCGCACCTTTTTTGCCACGTAATGTGATCGGTTCGCAGGTTCAAATCAAGTGTACTACCAATTGAGCTATATATTCTAATAATAATAATAATAATAAAAGTAGAAATTTTGGAGTTAGATATATGTAAATATATAGAAATTAAGCGGTATGTATGCAAATGCTTCTATTAATTCTCCAAATGGATGAGGCCAAATGGGTCAATTTGGGTGGGTCAAACGAAGGTTGTCCTTTCTCCCAGTCATAAATAGGTTTCTAAAGGCCCAGCAAGTTAAGATTCACATGTCGGCCTCTACTTTTGTTTAAATTATTATTATTATAGTTATCATTCTCCTTTCGTTGTCAATCCCTATGGTTCGTTATTGTTATTGCGTACTACTTTCTCTTATGAATCTTTAATATTTATAGATTTTTCATTATTTTACCATAAATTAACAATATTAATAATGCTTGGAATATTATATATGCATAATAACATTATCAACCAATATCGATATCTTTTTTTATTTTTTTTATATTTAATCATCCGCCATAAATACATTTTCATCATTCAGAACGAATCTCGAAGCACGACACAAATTTTGAGATAATTTTTTAGCTAATTCTCGAGAAGAGTGCATATTATAGATTATTTCAAGTGGGTTAGATTCTGTGATTTTTTTTAGATATCTCCTCTGACATATTTTTTTTTATATATGTGAGAATATGCTTGATTTTCATACAACGTTATAATAATTTATTATTCTATTACCGTGAATCTCCCAACACGGGTCATTTACAAATCTTATACTTGCTAGAACCCGAACTAGGCTGCTCCAGGCATAAAGCAGCTTGGGCATGTCATTATCTAAGATGTATAATTTGGACATGGGATGGCAAAGAAATATCTTCGGATTCATGTAGTTGAGCACATGCATGCACGCATCTATATACATCAAATAGCTGGCTGATCTAATCCCTCCTTATCCCTATATTAATTAGTGACAATTCTCTTCGCAGACAAATACCAACACGTTCATTAATTTAGTTTGTTGCTGCCCAGCATGC